GCCGCCTGCGCCAGGAGCCATCCGCACGCCAACAGGTAATGGGGCCAGATGTGGCCGCCCGCCGCGCCACCAATTTGTAGCAATTTTGTAAACGGTCTCCACGTGCAGGACAGAACTCACGACGCCCCGAATGTCCCCGTACGCAACGCGCACGTGGACGGGCGAATGGGCCGCCGCGGTCAGGCGCGGCTAAACGTTGCGCGCCTGGACACCACGCGATGGCCCGGAACGCGGTCCGGGGCTCTCAGTACATGTCAGCGCTTGAATGGGTTACATGTGAACAGCGACGACCAGTTATAAAAAAAATAGGCCACGCCCCTGCTGGTCGAAGCCGAACGCACGCAAAAGTGCGCATGAGGCGGAAGTTTCCCGGCCTGCGGAGTGTTGTCGTCCGTCCATGTACATGCGTTCGCCCTCCGCAGTCCCTTTCTACGCTTTCCATATATATATATACTCAAAATGCAGCCACAATGCTCGCTTGTAATTGGCTGGAGCGCATTCTCGCGGGATTTCAAGCCCTCCGAAGAGGCGTGCCTTCCCGAAGCGTCGGAGGCGGGGCTAAGTGTTTTTTTTATTTGGGGCAAACATTGTATTCCAAATGGCTTTTTTTAAAGCCCGCTGGACACCTCGGCCCGCTACAGGAAGTGGAAAGTCAATGGTAGGTGCGCAGCTATTGGCTGCAGCGGGGTGGGCGGAGTCTGAGGACGTAGTATCCTATATTTACACTGTATCAAGCGAGTAGGTGCGCTGCTATTGGCTGCAGCGGGGTGGGTGGAGTCTGATGATGCAGAAGTATATAGTTACACTGTATCCAGCAAGTAGGTGCGCTGCTATTGGCTGCAGCTGGGTGGGCGGAGCCTGAGGACGTAGTATCCTATAGTTACACTGTATCCAGCGAGTAGGTGCGCTGCTATTGGCTGCAGCGGGGTGGGCGGAGTCTGAGGACGCAGTATCCTATAGTTACACTTCATCAAGTGGGTTGGTGCGTTACTATTGGCTGCAGCGGGGTGGGCGGAGTCTGAGGACGCAGTGTCCTATAGTTACACTGTAACGAGTGGGTTGGTGCGTTACTATTGGCTGCAGCTGGGTGGGCGGAGTCTGAGGACGCAGTATCCTATAGTTACACTGTATCATGTGGGTTGGTGCGTTACTATTGGCTGCAGCAGGGTGGGCGGAGTCTGAGGACGCAGTATCCTATAGTTACACTGTAACAAGTGGGTTGGTGCGTTACTATTGGCTGCAGCGGGTGGGCGGAGTCTGAGGACGCAGTATCCTATAGTTACACTGTAACAAGTGGGTTCGGTGCGCTGCTTTTGGCTGCAACGGGGTGGGCGGAGTCTGAGGACGCTGTTGCATATAGCTACAGCGTAACAAGCAGGTAGATGCGCTGCTATTGGTTGCAGCGGGGTGGGTGGAGTCTGAGGACGCAGTATCATATAGTTACACTGTAACAAGTTGGGTAGATGCGTGCTATCGGCTCCGTTGGGGTGGGCGGAGCCTGGGCACGCAGCAGCAGCTGCCAGAGACACCATCAGGCCCACCACCCTGATAAAACTTTTGGGGCGGACGTTCACATTGGCGCGCGTTTCGTCCAGCCGTGGCCAGGTCGCATTGTGACGCCATTTCTGTCTCGTTTCCAGCAATCTGAATAACACTTACCTGCAGCCGGAGCCGCTCTACCAGAACTGCGCCATGCTGGACACCCACAAAAGTAAGTGAACCCCACCCACCCCCCGTGCAGTCTGTTGGGGGGGGAGGGGAAAATATAAAATATATTAAACTTCAGTTTTTAATTAATTTGAACCTGCGAAGCTGCAGGTCGGGGTGTTCCCGGGTTCTAAGCTCCGCCCCCCGTAGTATTATAATGGACATGTCACATGACTGCAATCTATTACATTGTCACCCCTTTTGTTTCA